ATAATAACATAAATATAAATTTACGTTTTTTGCTGTAGAGGATGAGAATGAAGGTGCTGGAGTAGGAAAGGGAGGAGGAGGCGAGACTGACAGGCAAGAGACAGGAGAGACAGGCGAGAGACAGGACTATGAAGATGATGAGGGAGCAACAAACAGCGTCCACAAACAAGAAGGGGACATTAGTGACTTAGGGGAAAAGCATGATGGTCCTAAACAAGTGAAGTTGTCCCACTATCCCCAGCACAAATTTGGAATAAAAAAAACGTTCATTTAATTCAAAATGGTTTGAAAGCTTTTCCTGGTTGAAAAATAAAGCCTTGTCATCAAGGATATGCAGTGTGTTTTCAACTTGCTTGATAACACCATGTTCCCAACATTAACGCAGGTCATCCAGATCTCCCTCATCATCCCAGTCTACAGCTGAAGTTGTGAAAGGTCATTCAGTGTGTTGAGAAGGCTCCACACTTGGCTGAGGTGCACAATGGGACAAGACAGGCTCCATCATCTGGCTATTTTATCAGTTGAAAAGGAAGAACTTTCTAAGCTGAATCAGAGTCAAGTGATTGACCGCTTTGCAAAAATGAAAAATAGGAGGTAGACTTTAATGCTCAAAAAATAAAAGAAAAAACTTAGTTCATGTTGAGTTAAACTTCCCCTGAACTAAAACTCTGAAACCTAGGCATGAATGATTACTTTAGAATGTGTATAAGGAAACGTTTTATTTTTTATAGCTGCAATGTTGAAAATGTTCATGTATGTTAAAACAAATATGCTCTTACACTCATTAATATCTCAGCTGGTAATTTTGGTAGAAATGTATCAGGGTGGGGCAGTGTGCTTGTCTGTATTTGTGTATGGAAGGAGGGGCATATACGATAGGGGGCCAGTGCCCCAGTAAAGCTTTGTGCCTAGCAACGCCCCTGGGCTTCACCCTCTGGATCGTCCTTTCTTCATTCATCTACCAGGTTCTGATCTCCTGGAATAAACAGAAACAAATGCTAAATTAAAAACTAATAACTTGAGCATTTAATTTTTTGGCACGTTGTTTTTTTCCAAACCAAATAAAAAACAACATAAATATGTTGCCCAGAAGCTAGTAAGGAATCAAAATAAATACAAAGTAAAGTCATACTATAAATGTGCTTTTATAAAACTGGAGCTCCTCTGAGTAACTCCCTCATAATCACATTTAAACTTGAGGAATTGAGGACAAAATAGTAAACAAAAATTGGACAAAGAAGACAGGTGGTTTGAAAGGGGTGTGAAGGAAGCCATTTATGTTAAGAGAGAAAAACCAACATTAAATACAGTGGGTGGATTCAGGTTTCAGCTCTTGAAAACTTATAACGCAGCTTAGAGTTGATTCCTTCCCACTATCACCTCAATCCTCATTGACCAATCAGGTGGTCAAAACATCGCTCCTGCAAGCCAGGCCAATAACGTCCATAATGATTTGCCATTAAAGAGGTGTGGGCCAGTTTCGGTTTAATTTGCAGGCCAACACTCACCTTAACGACTCCTCATTACAAAGGGTGGACCTGTTTTTTTCAGTTCAATTTGCAAGTTTTCTAAGCCATAACAATGCTTTGTTAGGCTACCCTATAAAGCCTGGAGCTCCATGCTATCCAGACATTTTGAAGTGAGAAAGCTTTCTGGATGGGGAGCGAAACGTCTTCACTTTGAGGCGGGAGAAAAGAGTATGTCAGACTGACTCCATTAGTTTTACTTTGTTTTCAACATTCATGACACTTGTGCTTGCTTTGGTCAGGTCTGTTCCACTGCTTGGTTTTGGTGTGTGTCAAAGACAAAGGTGAGCTCAAACTTACAAGAAAAACATGCTTATGGTGAAAAAAGTTTGTTTTATTTTTTGTTGGATCTCACAAAGTAGAATAGATCCCAGCCCTACGAGTACCTCTGGTTGGGAACCACTGTCCTAGGGCACCAGCCACAATAACATTTTAGGGACTCGATATCTACTTTACACATGTTTAGATTATTTAAGACAGATGTTGTCAACACATTGTCTGAAAACCCACAGAAAAAAGAAAAATGCAGCATAATCTAATTTTAAACTCATCCGTTCCAAAACATGTCTGGTGACGCATTGTTTTGTATGCATGATGCAAATGTATAGTACAGGGTGTGTGTCTGTCTAACCAGTATAACTGGAAGGCTTATGTGCTCTGCACAATTGCACAAAGATCATTCAGCAAACTGAACTCTGGACACTCACAATATCTATCGTTTTCGCTATCATTTGACAAAGCCAAGAAAATCGTAAGTATACCATTATCTTTGATGCTAGTAATTTCAAAAACTGGATCGGTATCGGTTGACACTGAAACTTTGCTTCTGTACCAACTTTGCTTTTGGGGTATATTTCATAGAAATATTCTTGCTGAAATGGTAGTTTAGGAAAATGGACATACAGGAGAACACAACAGGATGAGTAGATCAGTAATCCCTCTGAAAATGATTAGTGATTTAAGTAACAAAACTGACACTTAAAGCATATTCAACAAAAAGTATATATTTCTTATGTTAAAAACATTCAGAATGGATGGATCACCACAAAGGCAACATAAAGGTAGATTGGCACATCACTGCTTTTTTGCTTTCCCCCATCGCTCTATTCTCTCTACTTAATGTTGCTTTTAAGGATAATGTAAGGATGATCTATGTCTGTTATGGGAGTTTTAAAAATATTTGTTGTCTTAATATAGATTTCTGAGTAAAACTAGACCAGACTAGCAGAGGGGCAGTGCTTCAGCTTCAGGAGACATAACAGAAACTGATCAATTTACATTTATTCCCAACAGAAAAAGCGACTGCCCAATATATTGAGTTGTATCGTCTAGAATCAACTATAAGGGTGGCACAAAACAAAGGATGCCAAACACCATTTCTTTGGTTGATTAACTATTTATGGCTTGACAATTTTGACCAAATAAGAAAAGTTACTTGAATTCAAAGTATTCTTTTAGTAAACAAAATAAATAATTATATTACAAGTTTTGATTCACAACACATAACATCTCAAGATACTTTAGAGTTTATTCCATCGAATTAAAAAAAAGTCAGATCTGACCCCCCTGCTCACTGGCAAGCTGCATGTCTGATTACTTCATTACGCTCAGTTAATGTTGATGATGTGACAGAAAAAGGGAAATTAAATAATGGAGAGCAATATGGAAGGAATCCAGGGCATAGACAGTATGCTTTATTGTTTCGCCTTTTTGTCTGTCCAAATATTTCTTGCCAGTGCTACACCCCATTTATCAAGTGCAAGCAGAGTTGTTCTGGCTTGTTATATCAGATGCGACTGGTGAGATGTTTCGACGTATGTATGTAAAAGGCGATTTTACTCGCATTGCTTGCCGAATCATTTGACACGGGTTAACGCTGCGCAGTGAGCCTTTCCCACTGCCACTAAAAGCTAATTATTCGTGGGTTTATATTGTTTTTCGGTCACTGTGAAAGTGTATGTAGGAGAAAAACTGGACTAGGAACTAAAATGCAGAATCAATTCTTTAATCTGTAGTTCAGCAGCAGCCCAGCTGATGCCTGCGTCCATGGTAGTTTCACAGTTGACAGAGTAACGGGCTAGATGAGGCTTCGATGACAAAAAAAAGACCAATAATACAAATTGAAGACTAGAAGTAGAATGTATCAGATTGAGGAAAAGTGGTCTGTTTGTCATCCAGCAGCCTAAGCCTATAACAGCCTAACTAAAGAAATAGATAAGAATAAGCTGAGCTATTAATATTGGGGCAGAATTATAGTTTATCAAAAATATCAAGCTTTTTCATCAAGTTTTTTCGACTCCAAGTAGAAAGTTATGTTTTGTCTAAATTCAAAAGAAAATAAAGATCTATCATCCTAAAATAAAATAATGTTTTTCTTGTGAAACACAAAACAAGGTTTTGGCCAATTTCTAATGTACTTAAAAAAAAGTTCCTTAATGAATGGTCATGAAATTAAAAAAATCAAACTCTCCATGCATCTCAGTGTCATAACATAGGTTGTGTCTTCAAACAACACAATTTTCCATAAATTTGGAAAAATGCCAAGTTGGACTCGCCCCAGTGGTAGCATGCATTTCTGTTTTGTGGAGGAAGTTTGCAGCTTTTCTTAAACTTGTGTTTTTTTTGTGTGTTTTTTTTTTTTTACAGCACCTTTTAGTGTTACTGGCACGTTAAGTTAGCTGCACATTTTAATCTGTCAACAACTATAGAAAAAGGTTTAGGTTGTTTTTTTTGTAACTTGATAAAACCTACAAAAACAGTTGTTTTCTAAACAAATTTATAAGGAATATTATAATCACAAAAACATCAGAAACACTTTATCTGAACTTATCTTTTTTAAGTAACATGCAAAAGCATTTGACACATCAGTCAGCTAAGAGATGTATTTTTGTTGATACAGACTATTTACATTTAGAGACCAGTGCCTCGTTCTGTTGGAACATGTTTAGAAGTCAAGACTCCAGCAAGAATAGCAACTGTTTTAACAGTAACTAATAGGGATCTTAATTAAACAAACCAACAACAAACTCAGCAAACTGTATTTAGATTTAACAAACTTTGTTTGATAGGATGATTTGATGGAGAAACCTAAAGAGGCCGTATACAGAGAGGAGAGTGATGCCAGCTCAGAGGAGGAGACCAACCACAGCTCAGCCTCTTCTGGATTCAAAGAGAAAGGTAACGTCATTCTGTGCGTATTAATAAATATAACAACTGTATTTCATTTAGGTTTAACTAGTACAGTGTGATTTCATTTAACAGCGTGCTCTGCAGAAGATGATGACAGACCAATGGAAGCAAGTGCTGCAACAGGCATCAAGAAAAGTAAAAACTCATGTTTCCCATATTTATCCTGAAATCACATTTGTCTTTTTTTTCACATTTTGGGTTAAAAAAAATCTTTTGTTTTTTCTTGTTTTAGATGATGCTGGGTTTATCTTGGCATTATGTGGTGATGCAGGTTCAATTGTGACTGGATCCAAAAACATCTTAATTCCCCAAAAGGAACATACACATTTTTCATCCATGCTGTACGACTTGTGTGGTCGGCACATATCTGTTATTAACCTGCTCGGCCAACAAGACATTATAGATATTGAAGAAACAACCCTAAATAAGGGAATTAATGCCTTTCTTTTGTTGATCAAAAATGGTCTCCATGAGAACCATTACAAATCAGGGCTGCGGTGGTTGGAAAAAACCTTTGGCAGAGAGTCACTGCCTTATGTAATGACAGTTGTGACTCGCAGTTTAGGTGAAAAATGTGAGGATGCACTAAAAGATCTGCAAGTCCACGAGAGCTTTGCTGAAAATAGATACCACGTGTGTATAAGGAGTATGTCAGAGGCAGAGGAGATAGCCGAGCTGCTGGTAAAAATAGAAATCATGGTTTCTGAAAACAATCCATCCTGCTTTACGGGCCGGATACGCGGTGGAAATAGAGAGCAAAAAGAGGATCTGGAGCCCGAACATCATGGATACAAGTCAATGGAGCCTGCAGTGCTTAAGGAAAACAAAACTGGTAAAACATAATTGTGTTCTTTCATGAGTTAATAATTCTGTACATTTCTTACAGCAGGAACCTAACAGAACCTATGGGGTACTGAGAGACGACTTCTTGGATTGATTATAAGCTAGGAGGTGGCATTGCAAATGGTTTAATAACCCAAGCCTTCTCGTTCAGTCATCTTTCAGTTCAGATTCATTTTCCTTGTTTGCATTATTTTAACCCAGCTACCCGTGGATGTCACGGTGTCCTAGAGTTCTCATTTAAATCCACCTTTAATATCCACAAACCTTGGTGGAAATACTTTATTGGACAACCAATAACTCAATTGGGAAGAGACCCTAGACATAAACAGGATGCTCAGATACATTTTGTTTCTTTCCTCTAAATGTCCTCCACAATGCATAATTTCCCTAGTTTTTATTTAATTTCTAGGCAACTGTTTTTCTGTATTTTAAGTCTTAAATAAATGTACAACTCACACATTAGGTCAATAGAATCTGATTTGGCAGGAATTAACCCTATAAACTATTTTCAGTTGTCTTGCAGATGTTTTTTTTTTAAATAGGTCTCTGCTCAGCTTTAAAGTGCATATTTGATTCCTGCGAAAACCGACCCGAATGTTTTTCACCCAATTAGCAGTTCTTCTCAATTGAAGTCTCCCGTTGAAACCAGGATCACAGCATGAATTTGTAAAACCCAGTTCTTTACTTGTGAGGGTTTGTTCTTCAAGTAATGCAAACAAAGAAAAAAACATCTTTATATCTATAAGTATAACACAAAAATGTATGATAAGCAGTCGATACAGAGTAAAAGTTTTACCTCAGTGCATCAGGTCATTAAATTCCCCCCTTTTTATCCTCAAGCATCAACCTATCAGGGTGTTACCTGCACATATCAGACTAATCTATGTGCAACAGGGAGCTGAACTCCACACACACACCTCACACCAAATAAGGTAGTAAAAGAAGTTCAAACTGTTTTCCTATATCTAACAAACACGGATGGTTCCCATTGTGAAGCAACAGGGTAACTGTTAGAGTCCATCTAAGAGAGATAAAACACTAAGCCAACCAGCTGGGAGGTAAACGACCAGCATGATACAGGATGCAGTATTTCAAAGATGTGCAATGAATAGTAACTTAAACAGAAATTAACATTTTAGAAGAAATTGACACCTCCACTTGTGCTTAGATTGGTCATGATGTTGGACACTGGCACAGTTCTGTGATAATGACTGCCTCTCTGCTTTCTTAGCTTCCAATTAGAACGTTTCATATGCAGGATTTTTTTTTTTTTTTTGTGAGAAAGCAGGATGGAAGTCAAAAATGCAACACAAGTTGTGCCTCCTCTACAAATGTGCACAGATTGATGTCAACATTATGCTAATTTCAAAAATGTAAATTTTCCCCATTGCAGTTATTTCATTACATTAGAAAAACTATTTAAAACTGTACCTGCACATGTTTGTTTATGCATTAAGTCTTTAAAACTACTTGGAGGGCCGCAACTCTAAACACGTAAGACATATCCATATATTAGCAACGGCTCTAGTGGTCATCATGCTAATGATTACAAACTAAATGTACAAAAATACTAAGTCATCAAATAATAAAAATGTGCCAATCCATCATCCTCCAACAACTTCTAATCATCTTCTTCATCTTTTTACCAGAATATAAGGTCCAGTTGCAGATCACATGACTTGTGTGATGTAAAAAAAAAAAAAAAAAAAAGTATTTCCATTCCAGTTTTGTGAAATATAAAAAAATTTGATGTGACCATCCCATCGCAGTGTAAAAATTTGTATCTAAACATTTTTCAAAATTGCACTTTCGTAAGTACAATTTGTACATTGGTGACGGTTAATGGAAATGCAGCTAATTCCCCACACAAATTGGGATATCTGGTCACCCTATTTGTACTCCCAATTTTACAAGTATAAAGTATGTGCATATCCGTTTCACAATGATGCCCGTAAGGCTGAAGGCTGTCCAGATTCAGCACAGCAGTCCAGAGCTCCTTTCCCACCCTGGTTAACATCCTTACAACTCATAACTCGAAATAAAAAGGATGAGGATCTAGGAACAGGAGTTAGGAGCTATAATTTGATGAATTCAGATAGAGCCTAATGTCATGAGGGCCGAGGACAGATAGACCCAGTATTCAAGGAGAGACAGTCAGTAGGAAAGTTCAAAACGTTTATTAAATAAAACAAAAGTGGAGCTGTTGCTCACGGATACTGCAGGAGGGGGAGCGGGGCACCGCCCAATCACAGACACTCTGCAGGAGAAACACAGGTAAGTGACCACGATCATCTGACAGAGGATGATTATCTGAGTTGGTCACTTACCTGGTTAAACAGTCCAGTCCAAGAATGTCCCCAAAGATGCAGTTCCAGAGGTCATGCTGGAAGCCGATCCTGGTCAGGAATACAGATCAGGCAGGAACAGAACAGGGGGCAGGATCAGGCTTCCAGGCAATAACAGAACTCTGGGACAGGTTGAGAGTCTGACAAAATCCGAAAGTGTGACCAGGTGGTCACGCACGGGAGCAGACAGGATCAGGTGCAGCTGAGTAGGCTCAGTGGAAGAGGGTAGCCGAGACAGGACTTGGAACCAGAACTTGATGCAGGACCTTTAAACTGGTCTCCTCCCTGGAGCCAGGCTTACTTTGATAAAAACTGAACCTCCTCACATATAGAGCCAAAAACCCAGAGGACTCCGCGGGGGAGGAACAGTGGACGATCAGGAGACGAGACAGACACAAAAACCCTCTTTCCACTGGCTGCCAGGATCCAGGACATGAACCATGAAATAAAAATAACAGACAGGCTAACAGAAAGACAAGTAATGATCTGGCACTGAATGCTCAGGCTGAACTGAATATAAACCAGAGAAAACAGATAAGAGGAATAAATTATAATTGAGGCAGGGAGGGAAAACGACAGGTGAAAGGAATTACTAATTAAGGGAGAGCAAACAGGCCAGATCATGACACCTAATGGTCTTTTAATATTCAACGAGAGTTGATATGAGTCCCCCAGTGGGACCAGAATGTTCTCATTAATCACCGGAATGGAATTAGCATTCCCTATAAACAGGCTCCAGCTAATAAACAAAGACCAGCATCTCCAGTAAATGATGATGACAATGCAGCAAATAAGACAGGTAAACATCTTAAGGATGAACATAATAGCATCATGTCGTCGTATCTTCATAAAAAATCCTTTATATCAAAACTTAACATGATTCTGCTGTAGATTTATTTTGACTTATGCATCATTCTTTTCCTGTAGGAAGCTCAGACAAGAATTTGGGACAAAATGTTGAAAAGGTAGGAAGCTGGTCAAGTAATTTGTGAACAACTGACAGGTAATGAATAATCTGCTGATTATTTGCCATTGTTACTCTACAGAAAATAAAAAAAGATGATGGAATCCCTCAACACAGCCAACATCAGACAGAGATCGAGACATTGCTTAACAGACTACAGCTAAAAGAAAAATTTCCACGGAAAATGTCCCCAGGAGATTTCCTTCACATTGGTCTACCTTTAACACCGGACCATGACATGTCTGAGAAAAATCTGGCGTATTCTTTTCTTCAGAAGTTGATAAAGTTAGATCATAGAGCCAGATACATTCCTGTTAAACAAGAAAGTCTTGAAGTTACTCATGCAAAACACATACCTGACTCTGATGGTAATGATTCAGATGAAAATGACTTAGACTATTTCTTGAGCTCCAGTTCAGAAACAAGTGAGCCAGCTCAAACTCATATCCATCCAATGGATGTTCAGATGGCAGTGTTTCACTGCTCGGACAGCTACCTCAGGCAGATCATGGTGACAAAGCTTTCACAGTGTCAGTATGCTTTACCTTTTCTTGTTCCCGACCCACTGACAATGGAGATTGAGTGTCCTCTTTGGGCATTCAGACAAATAACTAAAACATGGAAGGAAACCAGAGGGGATTCACACACCACCACAATGAATATTCAAATCTGCAATGCCAAAACACCCTTGGTATCTTTTTTCCGCCTTGGATCACTCTCAGTCTCTAAGTCCCAGTTGATGAACTCTTTGATCAATGACCGCCACAGCACATTCTTCCACAGACACAGTCCTGGTAGCACCAAGACTCGCCATTTATTAGACGGTGTTGCTGAAATTACCTGGTACTGCCCTAATGGAAAACCCAATGATGCCTTCAATAACTGCATCGCTTTCTGTAACCTTCATGGCGATGCTGTGATGATTGAAAAGCAGCGTCAAATGCTCACTGAGATGTCATCGATAAATGTTGTGATGGTAAACAATCTGCAAAAAGATGACAAGAGTTGGCCAGTTATATCAGCCCTACTGAGGTCCAAAAAGCCTCTGATTTGCCTCCTTGTTAAAGATGACTGCAAAGTGATGGAGAGCAAAAAGGGCAAATTCAAAATGGGGCTCAAAGACAGGAACCAGGCAGATGTTTCTAAAGAACTTAAGAGAATCATTCAAGAACTTTTGTCTTCAGATGATCCTTTGATTTTGAAAACAATCTTCCAGCTCGAAACCATGGTTGAGAACACCGGGATCCGAGTGGATGAAAGTGATGATGTGTGCCAAAATGGAAAATTAGCTGCTGTGGAAATAGTTAACTTGCTACCAAAAAATAATATTTTAAGCATTAAGGACAAGTTTCTTCCCTGCCAAGGCCATTTGTGGCATGAGTGGTCCAAAACAAACAAAGAACTCCACCGTCTCACAGGAAACATTGAAAATGACAAATCCAAAAAGGAACAAGAAATGACTAGAATCCGAGAGAAACAGTGTGCTGCTTCTTGCAGTAATCTGATGAAGCTGTTCACTAAGAGCCTCTTCACACTCCCATTGAAAGACAAAGAATATTTCCTTAAATGGACTCAGATCCTGACAGATGACCTCTCCACAGATGCTACTTATTCAATCATTCAAAGCTATGACCGGAAGTGGTCTGAGGTCCTGGCTTTGAAGAACAGGCCCAATAAACCAAACAATTTAGAAAAGGAGGAAAAAGAGCTTGAACGCTTATCAAAACAACTGCAGTCTGCAACATTTG